TGTTCCACTATTTTAATCACATTGCAATTTGATACAATTCTTAATATTAGAAATAATAATAAATAAATTTTGTAACATAAATTTTTATTAGTTGGCGCAATATTTTTATCATATATCACATTATTTTTGTAGAAAATTAAAACAACTATTTTGTGAAACAGTTTTTTAGTTTGGATGTGACAGTGTTTTTGTATTAAAATAATTAAAATAACACTATTTTGTATAAGAGGCATACTCCCTCCGTTTTTTGCCAACCTGCGGTTGGCAGCAGTCGGGAGTAAAAATTAACTAATGCCAATTCTACATAAATAAAACTGTACTATATTATTGCGAGATAATATAACGTAAGCACATATATATTTTCTTAGTTTAAAAGTGCCCCGTGCCAATCTGATCGACTTGTTTTGAAATTAATCATAAGCTTTACCAGATAGACCTGAAACGAAAAGGATTAAAATTAAAGTGACATACAAATACTTGGCGTGTTAGTTTTGATTTTTGATTTTTTAAAAATTTTTATTTTTTAGAGAAAAATCATTTTTGTTTTTTATGTTGTATGAAAATTATTTTTCAAGGAAAAATTTTTTTAAAAGTTATTTTTTAGGGATAAATAATAAACTTTTTTTGCGTACAAGTTGGGATTTTTTTATATACTTGGAGTATTTTTTTTTACCTTTGTGAGGTTTTTTTAGGTGATCTATTATATTCTATTATAGCTAACTCATTTGCTTTTACAGAAGAAGGATCAAAATTTATAAGGTGCAATCCACTCAGCGTAGTCACTCGTGAAAGGGCGACATATATGATACTTGTCCACAACTGAATATAGAATTTCCAGCTTCCGCAACAGTATGTTTTAAACTCAGACCTTGACTTTTATGAATAGTCATACCATAACTTAGACATATAGGAAATTGTTTTCTTATAACAAATGCTCTATCCATTACTTCAAACTTGACACTTAAACGTCCTATAATATGCTCTATTCCTGATGACATTATTATGTTTATTTTTTCTACTTCATTGTCAATTGCGCTATGTATAATTGATGTAATTGTACCAATCATACCATTTACAAGACCTAAACTAACATCAATATTTCTTCTAACCATTACACGTGCTCCTAATTTGACAGTTATGATTCTTGCTAATCCAGCTGTTCGAGAACTATCTTCATCATCTTTATTTAATATCTTCATAACTGCCCCACGTGTGTGTGTGTGTGCGTGCTACCTGTCCATGCATGTACTTTGGTATATTTCAAACTTTTAAGTTTT